TTTCTAGTACATTCCAACCTGCAAATTTTGGAGAAAATTTCTCCAAAATTTTTCCAAAAAATCTTTCTTCTCCAAATTTTTTTTCCCAATTTTTTCCTCCAAAATTTTTTCTCCGAAATTTTTCTCCAAAAAAACTTCTCCAAAATTTCTCCAAAAATAAAATTCTCCAAAAAAACCTTTCCAAAAAAATCCAAAAAAACCTCTCCAAACATTCCAAACCTTTTGGAGCTTTTCTTACTCCCTTTTATAAGCCATCCATCCCTTCCATCGGGGCCTTGGGTTACTCTTTTTCTTCCTCGGACACTTGCCAAAAAACAGCACTATCTTCATCACTCGACATCGACTCAACCTCAGAGGGCCAAATCTATTCAACTATTCGTTTGTCCAGTGCTAAAAATCTCTTGCCCAGCAAGCCCTTCGAATCGTCAGATCCCAAGCGCCACATTCCCGGCACTTGCTGTTTACTTGTTTCATCACCAGTAAGCCATAAACGTACGTCCTTTTTCGTACACTACGTATTCAGTCAAGGCACCCCACCACATTAAGTCCACCACTCAAGTACCCTTAAATCATAAAAATTTTCACTGTTAAATCAGGAATAAATCATAGCTTGATTGGCAAAAATTAGCAATTTCTCTAAGCTGCATTAACTAATGCTGCATCACATGGTCGAAAAACTAACACACAAAAAAAATTTTTTTTAGATTACCTACGTAAAATAATTTTTTTTTTTCATAAGTTTTAGGGAAAAAGCAGAATTACGAATATGAATGACAGTAACCTAAAGCTGATGACGATGACGGTGAAGTTTTTGATGATGATGACGAAGTTTTTGACGACGATGACAACAACGGCGTTTTTCGTTTCTCCGTTACTTTTTTCGCACCATCTGCATTATTCTTCTTCGCCGGATGCATCAGAAAACTCCATTTCTCGGCGTCATTTTGCAACACTTTCGGCGGTTTGAAATCATCCTCATCGTCACTCAGCAGCAAAATTTCTGCAGTTGTGACAAACGCTAACTGACAGGTAATTTTTCATTCCCTGTTTTTTTTTTGTTAAAAATTTTTACAGAAATGTTAAGCCAAAATTTTTTTGCCAAAATCGAAGCACTCTTGTAAAAACCATGCAGATGAACCAGCGGTTTTTCTGCACAACAGAATTCAATAGCATTTCTATCAATTTTAAAGAAAACTACAAAAATTCCTTATTATTCTGCTCGTACCACTTTTTTCACCCCTATCAGCACGTTTATTTAGGAAGTAGCTATGGAAAAGCGCTGAAAACTGGCGATTTTCGATGCTACGTTGTTTTTACTCGATTACTTCCGAGTACCACCAGAGTCTTCCAAAGAAAGTGAATACGGAGGGAATTTTGGCTACAAACACAAATGGAAAACATTTCTGGCAAAGTTTTAGAAAAATTCGAGCGAAACATGAAAATTTTTGAACATTACCATCTGTAAAATTTGCCATTCTAAACAATAAGAGCACTCTGATTTCACGGAAAATCTATGTCTTCGCATTCATGGGAACCTGAAAAAAACCTTTTTAAATTCCAAACAAATTTTGCTAATTATTTTTAGAAGCAAGTATCACGTAAGACAACCTGGATTATCCTCAACATCTCCTAGTTCATCTCTTAGTTCTCCAGTCACGGGGAGGGGAGGAGGAAGGGGTTTTTTGCCTCTCACCCCCTCCCCCGCCCGCCTCTTTTCTCCC